CCCCCCCCCCCCCCGTTGCTGCCCTCGCCATTGAGTTTGCCAATTGCAGTGGTATCGCTGATGCCTGCTGCCGTGCAGGACAGGCGGGACTCTTCTTGGCGGGTGATTTGCCGTAAGGTGCCATTGTTTCATTTCACTCTTTTCGTGAAACTTAAACTTTCGCCCTCGTTTGGTCACTCACGTTGCTTTCCCCGGTCGACTTTGTGCCGCTCCCCCCCGTGACTTGCTTTTCCCCCCTCGCATACGCATACCCCCCCTCGCCCGTTTCCGTGCGAGTCAGGATCCTCCTCTCTGGCTCGTGTACCACGAGCTGGCCTTCACAACGAAGGAGTACATGCGATCGGTGAGTACAGTATTGCTTCTAGCACGTAGCGCTGCAGTGCTGTGTGAGGAGGCCCTTGACTGGTACGATACTCATGCCGGCGGCACCGACTCTGTTCGTTCGGCGGCCTCGCTCTCGTTGCCCGTCAACACCTTGTTGTTAATTCGTATCAGCGCTCTCTCTTGATCAGGGGTGGCGGGTGTGACGTCATTTGCGTAGTTTTGACGAGCGTTTTACGTTGGTGTCACTGCGCCCGGAAATAGCGTACGGCTGCTCCTCCCGGTTGTATTTTGACCTCCAGGAGCGGTGGGTAGTTGTCGCAGACGAAGATCCATGTCTAAATTCATAACCATACCTGCGTGACGCCCATTTCGCTCCGAAATTGACACTAATTGGAGTGAATATCACCAGAGCGACGGGCGCGTGCAAACGCTGGTGGTGACAGTCTATCCCGCCTTCTCGTCTCCTGATGCCACGACACGCGTTCGTTTCCCATGTTTTTTTTTGTCGTCCAGTGCATAGACATCAAGCCAGAGTGGCTGGTGGAGATCGCGCCGCACTACTACAACGGCAAGGACATCGCGGACAGCGCCGCCAAGAAGCTGCCCAAGGTGGTCGGGGCCGTTTCGAAGGCGCAAAAAAAGCCCGTGAAAAATGTCGCGGCGTGAGAAACGGCGTGTGGCCAGCGCAAATAAGTTGATGGGCATGCGTCACCTGCCCGCCAAGGGAGAGCTGCGTGCTTGCTGCTGACTGTGAGGGTGGGTGGGCACGGTGATAACGGAAGGTGATACCTGGCGTCTGCTCAGTGATGGTCGAGGCTGTAGCCTGCGCCGGTCCGACGGGCCTCGTTGCCTCGAATGGAGACTGTTCTGTACCGTACCATATGCCACACGAGTATCAATCCCCATGACTGTCCTGTGCGAATAGTGGGGCAAAAGACCTTCAGGGGGTGGCGCGGTGGTTGCCGTGCGTTTGGCTGTTGTTGGCCCTCAACTTCCGCAAGGATGCGGACCTTGGCGTACCGTGCGGTCATGTTTCGTAATGTTGTTCTCCGATTTTTGTCGCACGGGTGTGCCAAGACGGTGATCCGTGTCAAGACCCCGATACCTACGAGGATATGTATCGAATTTTATCGTTTGGACCAAAGCTTCCCTACCGCGCAACCCGTGCCATGGCTCCGATTCTTGCGATCCTGGATGCAGTCAAGGCGGCGATGTGAGGTGATTTGAACGCACACCCACATGCGCGATCCTGCGCAATGCATACATATAGCGGACGCACAAACACTTGTACGGTATTGCAGCAACATGACAACGCAACAGGATCGCAACACCACAAGCACACAAACACACGCGGCGAAGCACTGAATGAACTCGAGGCGCGGAACTTTCTCGAAATTTCTCGCACTTCCTCGACACCAAGGCATGTAGTCACACCCACCACACGTGCTGCTATGCATACACGATGTCACGAGGATGCAAGCGCAGAGTTAGGCAGTCGTTTGGCGTCGTTTGAGTTATTCCGGTGTTGTTCTAACCCCAGAGTACATGATGTAGAGAGAGGATGTCATGGCCCGCAGGCGGCAAAACAATCACCGCACAGAACCTGATGGCGCGACTGACAAATGCGTCAGTACGCCTGGCGTCCGTAAGTTGACGCCATCGTCCGTGGCTGGGTTGGTCAATAAGGTTCAGACGTAAGAGGGTCGAAATCGGTTGTCACGGGCTCGACCCGGCATATCATGTAATTGAGAGTATTTGAGTTACCCTCATAGAAGACTATTACGGTGAAAAATACGTTTTCGGAGAGCTGTAGCCCAGACGGTTTCAACGCCGCTGTTTTCGGCGCTGTGCCGCTTTCTGCTATATTGATAAATCGAGCTTTGAAAATCGGTCTTGGGGTGAGTTATCTTGTGTTGTAGTCTATACGGAATATGTACAGTAGTCCAACGACATATTGTAAAGTGCAGTACTGTGGTACATAGTACCAATCGAAAGCTACTGCTGTGATGTGATTGCCCCAATGGTCCTTTTCCGAACCGAGTGGTATGGAACAGCGCCTGAGCGGGCTGCTGTTGGTACATGCGGACCTGCTCTGTGCATACATCGTTGCCAGTACAAGTAGTCTATCTACGGATCGTCCCTGCGACTACCATACATGTACTGGATCCGCGCAACAAACTCGACCGAGCCTTAAGGTTGCGCACGCCCAATGCCACACGTTGGGCGTCCGCCACGACGTCATCTCACCAGAGGTTTCGCTGACCATCAGATCCAATTTTTTGGTGCGGGCGTAGCAGTCCCAATGTGGTCCCTGCTGGTACGCGGGACAATGCAATTCGTTCACGGGGAGGCTCTGCGGGGGTCCGGGTTTTGGAGTGCGGGGGCTCCGGGCCCCGGACTGTTGCAAGGGGCCCTCCATGTGGAAACCATGGAACCCCCGCCCGCCTCTCGCTCCCCCCTCCCCCCCGGGCCAAGATTGACACGCAGGATAGCGACATTGTGCGGCTAGCTTGCGGCAGTCTACTGTATAGGATTTAGTCTGTCCATAGTAAAACCAATATGCTCTTCATTGTATAGGCTGTCGTGCCGCATTCAAAAACCCACATAATAAGTTCTTTAATGTACAGGCTTCAGTATGGCCATACTATGTATATCTTATACCACCATACGATAAAATCCTCCCCCCTCTTCGCGACAAAGATTAACGCGTAACCTGGGGTGTGTTCCATAATTCCCTCTAACTCTGTGTGGGATCCCGCGCGCGCGCGCGAAAAAAAGCTCGCGAAAAATGTCGAAAATCCGGGATTTGGCCAAAATGTCCCCCCCGGGGACGTATAAGGCCTCCTCCTCCCCCCCCCCGTGACCAAGACTGACACGTAATCTAGGCGTGTTCCACGCTTTTCACATGGAGGGCCCGTTGACTGCTGTGTTGTTCCTCCTGTGATTGGCCTCCTGGCACCCCCCGCCACAGAAAATGACTCTTAGCAAACAATCAAGAGTCATTTCTTTGCCCCCCGCCGTCAATGGCCAAAAGACTAATCTCGTATGCCAAACAGAATAACAAGATCCAGCCTGAGGGATGTTGTGTATTTGTGGCACACTGGCACATCGTTTTGGCCTGCGTCTTGTCAGTTGATTGAGCTTGTGTTGTTTCCATGTTAAAAACCGTTGCGACCCGTAGCACTGTTCTAGCACTCATCATCGCACCACGCGAACTCATTCTGTGTTCCCTAAGCTAACGGTGCAAACATACGAAAAAATAAATACGCGAGAGACAATTATGCAGGACCCAAGCAGACAATACTCATACCATACCAAACAACACGCACACCTGACGCCGAGGCTAAAAAGGATGGCAAACACCTCAGAGACACCCCCGCTAGTGAGGTCAGCCTCTCTCGTATCTCCGCCCGATCACGATTAATCCTTTGGCTAAATATACCCCTTGAAGACTCCCGAGAGGAGCTCGTGACTCTAGGTGCCTCAGACGCTCGAGAATGGCGGCCATACCGGCGGGCCCGACAGTATTACGCCATCTGAAGATATCACGGCTAAGGCAAGCCAAGAGAGAAGTCCCCCCACAAAATGAAGACGCCAACAAGAGCCAAATCACCATGATACTGACTTGACCTGCTTCTCGCTAGCAGCTACAAACAGCAGTTTGAAGTGTCCTGCAAGGGTCCACCTAAGATTCAAAACATTTACATCCGAGGGCGACACCACAGGCAACATGAGCAATCAACAATACGACAAGGCTGGATTCGAAGCTGTCCGGGAAGGCGGCGCGGTGTGGGAGACTACTATCGCCGCCACGGGGCCTCAGGACCCCCTCTCTCCCAAGCCTCCCCCGAGCCGCTTCGATCCCTTCATACCACACAGTATATCAATATCTCATTTTCTTCGTGTTGAGTCGCACAATCTACTCTAGGCGCGACCAAGTGATAGACACACAAAACAATGCTTCAAGGTATCACAGGAAACCAATTTCACAGCGAACAGGTCGTGGCAGATTGACAACGAGGAACTAACATCTACTGCGCGTTTGGCCGCTACCACAGCAACAGCAGCGCCACAGGAATCGAACTCCCGTTCAAGTTATGGCACAGCAACATGCCGCGAGCCCGATGCCGCCTACTCAAAGTTGTCCGCCGAGCAGAGATTTTGGTGGACCCCCCCTTGTGACAGCGCGACGACCAAAGACACGGCACTGGGAGCGGTGACGACACGCCCTTAAGTACTTACGACGTACTTCGAAGTAGAACCTGTCCCCAACCACATCCCGTTCACCTCCCAGAAAGAAAAACAGCGCAACAAGAAGTGGTGAGAGCCGCGTCTGATTCTGGCTAGCGTCAAGCGCCTGGCGCGACGGGACAAACATACTGAAACTAAATTCCACAGATAGCAATACAACGGAGACCACTCAAGAAAACAACTCGGATTACATCATGCATCGCCCAAGATGGATTCCAACCACAATCCCTCCGACTACATGTTGAATCGCCGACCCCCATTTCGTCCCGGTTCCAACACCAAGCGGAGACAAAGATCAAGCGGGGAAGACGCACTGCGCCCCCCCCCCCCACCCCCCCCCCCCC